TACACATAACAGTGCGGAAAAAGCATTTAATGACACTAAACATCAACTTCGAGTTTTCGGATGATATTGTACCTTCTGAGTACAGGTTTTCGGGCCGGATCTATTCATATGTTCATTTGAACATATGTTGAACATATGAATAGGAAAAAGAAATAAAGAAAAGAAGAAACTAACGTTGATGTGATCTATATTCATGTTCAAAATTCAGCGAACGGTTTTTCTTTTCAAGAACAAATAAGAAAAAACAGCCATCTTTGTCTTTTTCTATATAACTCTGTTAAATGTTCCATTTTAGTCAGCCGGAAGATGATGTCTTAGTTTTGTTAGAAAACAAATTTTCTTGTTATTCGTCTACTGCAGATTTTTTGTTACTTTTTTAACTAACTGGAGGCGACTTTGTTAAATGTTCCATTTTAGTCAGCCTGAAGATGATGTCAGAAAGACATCGAAAGCTCGCTAACGAATAAAAGTGTTTTGTTCAAAATGATTTTCATAGCAGTGTTATATTTCTTATCTCGTTAAAACATACATGGGACTACCCCAAGATAGTGTACTGAGCCCATATATTTTTATTATTTTTCATAGTGATATAATCAACTATTTAGGGGCCTTTTTCTCCCACATTTTTGCAGACGATTTAAATGTTTGGATAGTCCTACTAGTAATGCGTAGCATCTCAGGAATGACTGATTTTGTAAACGTTGAGGTTACAAAACTGTGTGAGAGAATCTTTGAATTTTCCAAAAAATGGAAACAACCGAGTAATATAAATAAAACGGTAGCTCACGTCTTTCATTCGCAAGTGAGAAAACCGATAGTTGAGATCTTTATGGATGGGAAAAAGATCGAAATTGTTAAAAGTCCTAAATGTCTCGGATTCACATGGACTGACAAGTTTCCACTGAAACCAACAGTAGACCATTGTCTAGAGAACATACAAAAATGTTTTGTTAAACTCAAGTGGTTAAAAAGAAACAGAATTATCTCTAACCCGCGTTCTTCGCCTGTGTTTCTTTGCATACGCCTTTCCTTTTTTACATGGATATTCTCTTTTCTCCCTGTGCTACCGGACACACAAAAAGAATCTCTATATAGAAAATTTCGCGTCGGATTGCAAATCGTGCATCGCTGTCCCAGGATTTCTGCGCAAAATATCTTATTGTCAACTAACGAAAAAGATCTCAATTTTTACGTCAAAAACTACCTCCAAAAAAAAATTTCGAACGTAGATCGGACTGACTTAAGGCAGTCTCTATTCTTAAACGATATGTTCTTCTGGGAAAATATCGTAAATGATAGAAAAAAGTCACTAAAGATCGGTCACTTCTTTCAAACAAAATCGGGTAAAGAAGATGAAAAAAAGACATGTATCTTTCCTATTAGACTGGTTGACGTTCATTGATGAACACTAGAAGGCAATATAAAATATATAATGTGGGTTATTTTTATTTTTATCTTGTCTTCTTTCTTAGACAGGTACTAACTTTTTTGGCATGTCTGAAATCTGTGATATCTCTATGTATACCTTTCTTTTTTTGTTGATGTAATTTTGTATCAGAGTCTTCCGTGTTTTTGTATTAACCTTATCCCCTTCCAGTTAGATTATTTACAGCTAACTAGAGTTTTAAATCTTGTTGTAATACTGTTATGGTTTGCTTATTTTTATTGTATCCAGATTGATGAATATGTCCATCTTTTTTATACCCTTTTCTGCAAGCGCTTCCGAGCGTGTCGAATAAATAGCTCAATCGAAAAAAAAAATTAAATCATTCAAACACAGATCATGTATAAAGAAGAAAAACATATTGTTCTGCTGAACAGTAAAACAGACACCCGATGAGATAAAATGCTAATGCTTATAGTTTCGATGAGTTGATCCTTTTACTTTCTTGGTTTCAACAGTACATAACTAACATAACTTATGCTAACTAAAAGGTCAGAAGAGGAATCTAAACAAGACTGTATATGTCTGTGTGTAAGAAATATTAATTAAAAAACATATTAATTTTGATGCTAATTACGCATGATTCTCCTTTTCCTTCTCTAATGAGACACGCACACCACTACGAGTACAACACACAAGAAATGCCATCTCATTATTATTGTTATCACTATCATCATCACAATGTCGTCGACCATATCTTTTCTTCATTTATTATCCCAACAGTTGGCCATTTATTTTGGTGGGAGTCTACTTGTTTTCGGTTTAGTAGGAAATTGCTTAAATGTTTGTATTTTTCTATCGAAAAAGTCCATGCGTCATAATTCATGCTCGTTCTATCTGCTCTCTTCATCGATATTTAACTGTTTTCAACTGTCATCGGTTCTTCTAACACGTGTATTGACTTATGGTTTTCTACTGCCAGATGCAACACTAACATCAACATATTGGTGCAAATTACGTCTTTATTTGCGGCATGTGTTCTCATTCATCTCACTATCGTGTGTGTGTCTAGCAACAATAGATCGGTACTTTTCCACCTCTCGCCGAGTACATTTACGTCGACTGAGTCGTCTATCACTCGCACATCGAACAATGTCAGTGATCATTCTGTTCTGGGCACTACTGGTCCTTCCACTGCCAATTATGAATCATATTTCTCTACTTAACAATCGTACAACATGTGCATACGATTCGTCGATCTATTTATACTATGAAGCGTATTTTTTTAATCCGGTATTCTATGGATTTCTTCCAGCTTTTGTCATGTTACTCTTTGGTTATCTTACATACAAAAATTTGAAATCAATACAATTTTTTTCTCGTTTCGATCGACAGTTAACATCAATGTTATTCCTTCAAATTCTCATTGTTATCACATCGACTATACCATACACAATACAGTTTTCATACTCCGCTGTGTATGCGCCGAGCATGACTGATCCATTGAAACAAGCACAAAATCAACTGTTTTCATCGTCGGCCACACTCGTCTTCTACGTCAATTACGCGTCATCATTCTATATTTACAGTTGTCTTTCACAGACGTTTCGAAAACAGCTGCGAAAACTAATTTTCGATATTTTCTTGAAAAAACAGCGGGATGAAAATCGTGTGACACCTCTAACTACAGTTATATGAGTACAACACACTTCTTGACAGCTTCTATTTTTATGTATGTAAAACGACTTATTTTGGTTGAATACATTCTCTTTCGTCGACTATGACTCTCTAAAAAATTTTCATATTGTACAGAACCAAAAACGAGTATTTCCATGCCGAGATACACTTTCTGGAATCTCTGAGTAACAAATGCAGATATCCTCTTCTTTTTGATTCTGTGAAATTAGGAATACTCTCAAAGACATCTTACAAAACCAAAAAGGGTATCCCGGCATGGAAATAGCCTTTTTTGGTTCTGTACGGTACAAAATTTTTTTAGAGAGTACAGAAGTGCCGATGAGTGTCGGCTTATATCAGCAGAAACCAAGAGTTATATATTTTCCTCTTTTCTATCATCAATGATGATCTTAAAGTGATTTGCGTTTTGATTATTTTCTAAAAGAAAATTCAAAAACCTATGTTTGCAGAGCTGACCGTTGCATTTTTTACCTTTTCATTTTCTTGCTTATCAGCATTGAATTCTTGTTATGCTTATTATGATAGCTGAATAATTTAAATTATAAACAAGTATAAGACACAGATTTGAGTTAGAACGTATGAAATAAGATTACTATAAACAGAAACAAGTGGAAAACGATAAATCATTGGGCTCATTACGAAATGCAGATACGGATATTTTGCTCGAGTTGCTTATGGCCAATATTATTAAATGAATTAGTTACGATGCGGCTTATTATTTCTTCTAGTTTACATCTTCTGGTTCTCCAATAAAGGACATTATAAGATGATGTTGCATATTATGTTACTTTCTTTGAATGTTTCCCCCATTAGCATTGATGGAAGGATTTTCCGAAACGAATTGTCTCCAGATTCTCCCTGCTTTTTTTTGAGTGATTTCGGTACCATTTTGATGTCAAAATGTCAGAGTACAGCTGCTCGTGATTTAGCACGAACAGATGACTGTGTTATGGACAGGGCATGAGTGATCTAAGTGGATGATATGCTGTTTTGAAAGATTCTGAGATAATGCAATGTTTCGAAGTAGTCCACGATGATGATATAGCAATGTATAGACATGCATATGTTTGTGCAGTTTTGGTATGTTAGTTTCATTTACAAAATAAATACTTGTTTACAAGAATCATGCTATTGACTCGGATGATCACGATAGAATTAACAGTTATGACATAACGAGCGGGTTACAATAAAAATTATAACAACATTCGATGGTCGTAAATGTATCTTCTTTACAGAATACTCTGATACAAACGTTTTCATAGCCCTTCCAGTTTTATTAAAATTGATCACTATGCTCGAGTTTTTGAACATAAGCTTTTTCGATAGAAAAACACAAACATTTAAGCAGTTTCCTACTAGACCGAAAACAAGTAGACTCCCACCAAAATAAATGGTCAACTGTTGGGATAATAAATGAAGAAAAGATATGGTCGACGACATTGTGATGATGATAGTGATAACAATAATAATGAGATGGCATTTCTTGTGTGTTGTACTCGTGGTGGTGTGCGTGTCTCATTAGAGAAGGAAAAGGAGAATCATGCGTAATTAGCATCAAAATTAATATGGCATAGAAGGAGAGCGTTTCTTACACAGAGATATATACAGTCTGGTTTAATAACCAAATAGAAAGAAGTACAGTATAATGTGTTGAGATGAGTCAGGAGTGGTAGATAAATGTGTAGATTTTGACAGATTGAACGGCAGATCAGAACAACATGACAATTTTTTACGAAAAGTGCATTAAAAACGCGTTAGAGTGAAAGAAATATTTTTCAGTGTCTAGTATTTAGTGTATGAACCGTCATTCTTCAGCGTATTTTCTTAGTCACTGGGACTAAAATTCCATTATATATTTCATTCACAAAAAATATGTCCCATTGGTTGTTTGTTCTAACTTTCTTTTTATGTTTTACTTTTGTCACTGAGGGATGGGAGAAAAATCAAGGAACCACTATATAATATAATGCCATTCCAGCGAGAAATTTACCCACTCTACGACAATTTTGTATCTCTTCATAGAAACGTTTTTGTCTAGGGCACAGAAATAATGTATTTACACGAGCATTATGCACTTTTCCGTGAGAATTATATGCACAATCTAGAAGATATTATGCTTGGGTAGCGAAAGGGCTAGTAGTCACGTACGATAAATTGTTCTCTTTAGTAGTAGTTGCCAGTCTATGGGGAGTGCAATGGTCGGGCAAAAAATATTGTTTAGATGTGATAATGAGGCAGTTGCTAATATTATAAAGTCAGGAAGATCGGAGGACAGTGACGCTATGACCTTGATGAGACGTTTCACTCTATATGCTTGTCAATATTATTTCATACCTTACGCGGCTCCAATTGCCGGTAAGAAAAACGTTAAAGCTGATCTGTTATCTCGTTCACAGATAGAGAAATTCCTGACTTTACATCCAGCAGCAGATCGTTATCCATAACCGATACCGATGCCAGATCGAATTGTGTATCCTTATCGGAGGTTATCAGACATTTGCTAAATAACTCTCATGCACCTAGTAAATCCACATCCATCAAGCTATAGTTATCTGCTATTAAATCCACTTATGTACGAAATGAACTGCCAATAGCGGTTTTTGATCAACATCGAGCTGGCGCCAAACTTTTCATGTTACTGAGAGCCATTAAGCGTCTAGAGGATTCAACCACCCGTCCCCGTCGCCATATTACCTTTACCGTTTTAAGAAGCCTCATTCAGCTATTAAAATCGGGAGTTTTCAGCCCTTACTGGGATTTATTATTACAAACAGCTCTCGTTTTAGGATTCTTTGGATTTCTGCGATGAAGAGAATTTTGCACTTTCAACAATAACTTCGATCCTAATGCTAATATTTCGATGGGAGATATTATTCTTTTTGAATGTAACACGCGGGCATTTCTACGCTTAAAAGCGTCTAAAAATGACCCCTTTCGCAGTGGAGTTTTTATCTTTATTTTCGAGACAAATCATACAGTTTGTCCAATTTTCTAAAACGCTTTATTTCAGTCCGAAAAACTATCTCTGTCTGTACGGATGATCCTCTTTTTTTAACTCCGACAGATCTGCCGCTATCTCGATCAGTTTTCATTGAAAAAGTGCGTCAGCTTCTAAGACGTTTGAAATTTTCAGCTAATCTGTATCCTGGTCACTCACTAAGACGTGGCGCTGCTGCTATCGCGGCTTCCGTCGGTATACCACAACACATTATTCAAGCATTAGCTAGATGGGCAACAGCATCGTCTTGTAAGTTATACATTGATTTATCACCAGTAACTATTCGTGACGCGCAGATAGCTCTCACCAAATGAGCTTCAAACTTCTTATTGGGGTATGATGCTTCGCATCACCTTGGGATTCGCCCAATAAGAACTATTTGTTTATGAACTGTAGATTGATTGTAATTTGTATGAACTTCTTGTGAAGCTATCTGCCCAAATAAATTAAGTAAAGGAAAACTTATAGACTTACGTTTTCTTAAGAGTTTGAGAATACATAAATTGAGATTTAAAGATTTAAGTCGAGTCCATGTTCTCAAATTCATATCGCTCAGAAAACGACGGCGCTCTTTTAGTTTTCTATTTTAGGACGTTGCTTAGACAGAAAGAATTCATTCAATTTCATTTTACAGCACTACTTCATTTTATCTCCAATTTGAACAACCCGTCACCACCCCTTCTCCACCTACAACATAACAGTTGTAACTATCCGTGAACACACTCTACACGATCCACCCAACGAGCCGTTTCTACACGCACCGGCGAGAGCAGCTCCGTGCACCCGGAGCGTCTAGATCATCTCAGCCAGATACACATTACGGCCAACCAGCTGGCTCTACAAGCATCGACGAGGGCAGCTGCGTGCACCGTAGCGTCAACACCTTCACACTACAGCTACGGCCAACTAGCTGGCCCTACACGCATCGGCGATTTTATATTAAGAATAAATACTCTGTTTTCTGTCAAGTTGACCAAGCATTGGAAACAATTTGCTTCACTTTTCCATCGTCAGGTGGCTGAATAAAACAAAATGAAAGATATTTTATTTTGGAGAATGCGTGAACATATAATTAAGAGTCTACGTATTTCATTGTAAAAAGACGGGAACTTCTTTCTGAAAGAGAGTTATAGAAGTATATTTCTTTTATGAATAGATAAGCAAACAGAAAAGAGTGTCAACATTATCGACGGTTTCTTAAGTCATAAAATGTTTTCAACCAGAAAAACAGTCAGGTAGAATTGTCTCTCTATTTAGAGCTGAACTTGAATCAATTAGACTCGAAACACAGATCTTAAGTTCGAGTCCAAGCCTTTCGAAAAATCGCCAGTCCGAGTTCAACGAAAGGTTTTCTAATCCGTACTCGGACTCGCCCAACGCACCCAGAAGTATTCCGGCTGAGCAAGTCAGGTTCCAGCAAAACATACCCTGTTCGAGAGCCAAGGTAGCTAGCGATCTTTGGCTTGTGCAGTTTTGTAGATGGCACACACTTTTGACTATGTAACCATGTCATTTAAGTTAAATTTTTATTCTGGCGTCGTCTTCTTTTCTCACTCCTCAGATACAACATCTGAATTATCATTCGGTGAAGACGTCTAACTACTGTTCTTCTTAAACAGCTGACTTCATCATCCTGCTACAAGTATTGTATCGTTGATATTTAATTTTAACTATGGTTAGAGGCTTTCAACGTCGTTCAAATAAGCCAACTACAATTGATCTTGATAGTGTAACTGCTGTGGATATTGAAGTTATAGTTAAAAGTGTTCTATAATCTGATGCTATGCTACAAGGAATTTCAAAAATTGTCCGTGAAACAGTGTTACCGTTAGAAAAACGCATCAAACAACTGGAAGATGAGTTATTTGAACTAAAATTAGCCCATGATGATTTAGCTACCTTTGACAGACGGGCTGATTTACGATTCTATGGTTTACCAGAACAAGATGGAGAAGATACATGTCAACTTATCATTCAAACATGTGCTTCTATTGGAGTATTGCAGTCTATTGGAGACCAGATTGATCAGTTATTAGATGATTGAAATAGAAGCTAACCTATGAAAGTAAATACTGTATTTTATTCTCTACTTAGGAGAATTGTGTGCTGAGAGAGAGAGATGTGTTCTGATTGTTATACGTCCCTGTGCCACTGCCACTGTTTTTGACAATGGATAAAAAGAAATCTGATCATCAAGTTGATCCTATGCGTATTTTGTTTTTGAATGCGAATAGCATTCTTGCTCCAACTGATCCGCAGTCACCAGCCTCCTCATCTTCAAAGTTTGATCTGCTCTACTCTCATATTCTTTCTGATAAACCTGCCGTAGCCGCTATTACTGAGACTTGGGTAATGTCACCAGTTTCAGATGACCTTCTCCATATTCTGGGATACACGCTTCTGCGTAAAGACCGTGCAACAAAGGTGGTGACATTTTATGTTTTATACGTAATGACATAGAATTTAAGCACTGGACTGAGTTAGATGATACAAAATTTGAAACTTTGTTCTTGAGTTTGCACTTCCCCACATCAAAAATACTATTACTAGGCTTATGTTATAGATCTCAAGATTTCTCACCAATGCCTCTTTTTACTGAACATTTGAGCAATACATTGAATAAAATAAGATCTACGTCCAATATGAAGCATGATTCGTTAATCTTGATAGGTGATTTCGATGGTCATTCAGATCAGTGGTGTTCATCTAGACCTTCCACATCAGCAGGTTCTCAGCTTTTTGACTTTGTTGTTAACGAAGGATTGTCTCAGTTAGTATCTAAACCTACTAGACCGAAATCTAACTCATGCTTGGATTTTATTTTCACTAACAATGTTTGCTCAGTTTCAGATATTCGAATTTTACCTCCATTAGCACAAAAATGTGACCACTGTATGGTTGATTTTACTATTTTTAATTTAAAACACGCACCCTTCACATTTTTTATCGTTTACTAAGAACTCCTCGAAGTCTTGGTGGAACATACTGAAGCGTTCTATCTGCAAAATAAAGAATTCCACTATTCCTCCATTGATTGATTGCTCATCCAATAAAATTGTTTCATCACCGGCTGAACGTGCTCAAGTGCTAAATCGCCATTTTGCTAAAATATGTACAGCTAATACATTATCTACTTGTCCCTCTGTTGCAACTTTGCCTCAATCATCTATAGTTATGTTCAACCTTCTTATACATGTAACTGAAGTTTATGAAATTCTCTTACATTTAGACATAAGTAAAGCTACAGCTCCGGGCATTTCTAGCAGAATGCTAAGAGAATCACCTGCTGCTATTGCTCCTACTGTTACTCACCTCTTTAATGAGTCACTCAACAATAAGGAGTTTCCCAGTATTTGGAAAACTGGACATGTTTTACCTTTGTTTAAAGCTGATGATCCTCAGATTTGCTCTAATTATAGGCCTATAACTCCTTTGAGCGCATTGTCAAAAGTTTTTGAGAAAGTTGTCGATAAACATGTCTTGGGCTTTCTTAGAAGCAATAACTTGATTTGCAGAAGTCAGTCGGGTTTTCTTCCGAATGATTCCTGTGTAAATCAACTTGTTGCTATAGTTGATCTTATTGCAAACAGTCTTAATCAAGGAAAACCAGTGTAAGCAGCTTTTTGGGATTTTTCTAAAGCATTTGACAAGGTGTCTTACTCCAGGCTTCCCCTGAAACTAAAATCTAAAGGTATTCCCAATGATCTTATCGATTGATTTAGAAGCTACCTAACGAACAGACAAATGGTTACTATGGTTGATGGTACTACTTCGGATCCCCTGCCTGTTTCTTGTGGCGTTCCATAGGGATCAGTCCTAGGTCCTCTCCTCACCCTATTTCCTTCTTCTTCCTTGTTTATTGATAATATAGCACTAGAATATGTTAGGAAACACGTTCACTTGGGTTTGATGTTGGAATTAACGTTAGACTGGTTGCCTCATATCAATAATATTCGCACTAAACTACTGCGTGTAGTCGGCTCAATGAAATATTTGAGCAGGCGTGTTTCCCGTCAAACCTTGGTCACCGTCTACCATGCGTTTGTTCTTAGTGTTATTAACTACGAACTTGTTATCTATGGGGGAACAACTACTACAAATATAGTTCGCTTGAACCAAGTTCAGTATCAAGCAGCTCTTGCTGCCTCGGGTGCGATGCGAGGAACATCTCTGAGTAAAATTCTTCAGAATCTTGGATGGCTCTCTATTTCACAACTTTTATACGTACGTCGCATGTGCTTATTTCACAAAATTATGCATTGTAGAGTGCCTCCTTATCTTATTGAGTTGTGTTCTAATCGCAATCACCATTCCTATAACACCAGGAGCTCTGCTACTAAAAATGCCCCTATTTTTTTCGAGGTCGTACTCTTCTTGAAAAAACATTCATACGTGAAGGCAGTCGACTGTGGAATATGCTGCACGACAATGCTAAACAGTTGCACCGTCTAAAAGACTTTAAATGTTACCTAACTTCTCAATATGTTCAACCCTTTCATATTCCTTTAGTGCAGGACCGTTCTCTTGAAATTCATCATACACGCTAGACCACGTAGACTAGGTTTTCCTCCGTTAAATGCACCTCTTTTCACTCATGTCTTAGCATAGTCCTCGGCATGTAACTGTGGCGCTGATAAGGAAACAGTGAAACACTTCTTTTTCGAGTGTATTGATTATGAAGAGCAGCGACAGGGTATGTTTCAACAGATACGCAGTATTATAAATTCTTCTATCACTTTAGACCGCATACTTCTCCACCATCACTCTATCCGTACATTGAATAGAGATGACCTACTATCAGTTTTTAATTTTATTCTTCAATATATTCGTTTAACGAAACGCTTTAATTGACTTGATGCTTCTGTATTGTTTGTTCTTACACAGTGTGACGTGGATGAAGTTCTCTCTGCTTACTTAAACTTCTCTATCTCTCTCATCACCATCTCTCATTTTTTTTTTCTTTTACTCTCTTATCTGTTTTATTGATGTCTCATTTTGTCGAATAGATCCAGGCATATAATGATTTTATTTCGATTTGCCTGCTCTTCTTAGCTTTGCACTTTCTTTTTCCAGTTGGCGTTAAACAAATAAGAAACAAGTTAAAAAAAAAAAAATCCGATTTTGAAAGATGCTGTGAACATTCCTTCATAAAATGGTGTGTGGTTGCATCTCACAAACACTTTTCGTTTTCGTGTTATTCAAAAAACAACCGGCACGATTTAATGATGAAATTGACAGTAATACCTTCCGCAAAAGTTTCGCAAATAATCTATAGTACAATACTCACATACACTCATAACATCGGTAAAAAAACATTTTGTTGATAAAATATCATAACTACATAGGCATCAAAAATTAATAACAACGATGAGAAGAAAAAGTCTTCAAATGCACTGGGTTGATAATTATCAGATGAAATTGAGAGACGGGCTGTTAGGTTCCCGTGTGAACTAAGATCTTTCTCACCTAACGTTTATATTCTCACGTGTTCTCGTGTATTGTCAATGAGAATACACAAGAGTCCAGCAAGTTTAAAAAGAAATAGTTGCTGCTTGATTATACACTGCGTATTGATATTCTGATACCCTGATGTACTATGTAATTTAGAGGCGAATACCCTATTAGTAATCTGTTTCTGTTTTCCTACAAAAGAGCATGTCCCATTTCTTTTATATTTTCGGTAGTGTGCATACTGCACGAGATCTCTATGCAACGTCCATATTAACAAATGGAAACTTGTTAGTTAATGGTGGAATTGGCAATAGTGGTATTCTAGATTCTGTTACATTCGTGCGAACACGCAGTACAAGGTCCTTTTCTATTTGGTTTCCTCTCCTCTTTCTATTTGGTTTCCTAGGTTCGTGGGGGTTCGTTATGTTGAAAAATCATTTTGAAGTAGTGAATGGTGTCTCTATGATAGCTGGTTGAAGCTGGGAACGAGGCGGCGGTTCGGGTATGTAACTGTTCGTACGAATCTGAAAGTTTAGATTCGTTTTGAACATGAGAAGAACCCAGGAACCTAAGAAGCTAGATAGAAAATATTCTAAGAGAAAAGATTCGTGTACTTAGTGTTCGTACGAATCTAAAAGTTTAGATTCATCACGCGTTCAGGAAGTACTGAGAAGTTTGGAGCCGTTACGAATAAGAATTCCCCATCCTATGTACGTCCGAGCACAACACTTGCAAACTTGAAGGAAATATAAATAAGCCAACCTTTGACTTCAGTGAAGAATAACTTGCAGAGCGCCTAGAAGTTCACCTAGAAGTGTGCGTAATCGGAAGCAGAGCTTCAGGTACACGCAATACAAACAGAGCAATGGGGAAATTCAATTTGGTTTCCTGTATATTTTTTTCGTGCATTTGTGAAGCACAATGGTCGCAAAGTAACAACTATTATCCGTCACTGCGTTGCTTTCATGAGTCTTTACGTTAAGAATAGACCGTATTATTTAAAAAATAAAATTAGTTTAAAGAAATAGACTGTAGTCTTTATACTGAAACGACAGTCTGTGACCATGAGGATCTACTAAAACGTGTCCAGAGCTCCACAATAAGAAAGGAAAAGACTTGAACCTGTCTCGGTACCGTATATTTCTTATTCTCTCCAGTAAAAACTGAGAATACGTCCAGTGACCCACGCACAGTGGGCATCCAGGCGGAAATTAGGTGAAAAATCGAAGTTGTTCCTAATTCAAATACAAATAGTGGAAAATGTAGCCCTTTCAAACGGCTATCGAATGGTGTATAAATATCTATTTTGAAAATGATTCCTACGACGAGAAATCACGGTACACAAAATCGATTACGGATATCGTTACTACATACGAAATACAGATTCTTTGCTTACTCAATTATGGCACGCGATTTCAAAGCAGATATTCAGAACCAACACGTCTTCAGCTATCTATCGATAACAAAATATTTCTATTTCGACACCGAATTCAATAAGTAAGAGCGACATGTTCTCTATCACGTCAGTCCGTAACAGTACTCCACTATAGTCGGGTCGTCCTCGTTAGCCCCACGCGAAAATAACATTCAAACACATCAAAATGTTCCTCAAACGCTACTCTATGTATTCTAAAATCGCAAAATCTCGTATATTTTCCAAGGAGGTTTTATGGATTTTCCAAAATCCCAAGGGTTTTTCGCGTATTTCCCATTTTTCTCTCTCACTAAAGCACTTTTTCGTACAAATAATGCCATATTCGGAATCACCGTGAAAAACTGCATCGAAGGATGTATAGCTTTTTAATTTTTCTGTAGAAGTATTTTCGCTCAAATTGAATTCTAGACTTGAAAGCTTGTCCGCAGCAAATTTTGCTTAGGAAATTGGATATTTATTTTAGCAATAGTACACAAGTCTATAAGCACATGGAAATCTCATCAATAGAAAGAGCATATTCGAAAACCTATATAAAAACGTGTGTATAGGCTTTCATACCACTCCTACAGCATATGTCCGCCTGCTCTATAGAAAAATGCCCACTGTGCTCCAGATATCAGACTGTAGAATGACTGTTCTGTTCTCTTCTCTCTCTCACATAAAACTCGTTTCATACATATGATGTAATGACTAATAGAACGAAAATAATTCTCATCACATAAAATGAACTTTCCTAAGAGAATATTTGCAGAGCTTTCGACGCTTTCAGAACACTCATAATTAGAAAACCTAACCCCTGGTGTTTCATGACCGCTCTTCTTTTTCCGTCGGTAGCTTTACTGCCTTACTTTCATAGATGATAAATATACAAGCAAGTGATGCACAATGAAATGAAAAATAAAATAAAAATTTCATCCCTTCTGTCTTTTTGTCAAAACCTTAAACATTTTATTCATTTTTATATTATACTGAAAATGAGAGTAGACTCTCGAAACATCGACGAATATGATATAACGAAACTGAAAGTTACTGCTAAATACCTTGGAATTATGATGATTCATGCAAAAACCTCAGTCGAAGGATGTTTAACATGCTTTGTTCGTTGTAACCAACTAGTTTTGTTTCAAAAATCTCAACTTGAATGTCTCGCTTGAGAAAAAAGTTTTGTCCAATAATTCTGACTGTAAACACTGTAAGCATAGTTTTCGGTTTACAAAAAAGGTAAAAGTAAGCGTAGTTTTCGTTTTATAGACACAAGATAAAGAGCACTTCAAAAAATTGAAGTGAGATTGGGGAAGAAACGAACTAGATAAAACATTATTTGTCATTTCCCTTTTTCCTTTAATAAAAGAGTGAACTAACTCATTTTTATATTATATTATGCTTTCCTAATTATCTTTCGACTATTGCGATCAGCAATGCATCGAGTAAGCAATCAGTAGTTCTCTTTCAATGGAGCAGCATAATGATTCTAATACAAAGCAAAGATTCGGTGATGAATCAGCCGATCAACCGGTTTATCTTCAATTTGAAATCGATTGCGTTCACGCAAAACAGAAACCGCTTACGAAAGATGAAGAAAAGTCACAATTATCAAATACCGCTGAATGCACTTGGCCGGCAGTTCCGTTTCTTGAAGTTGATAATGATCTCATATCACCCGGAGAGGTACATCTAATAAGAAGTACAACAACTAATTCAGAACGACCTGCCTCATTTCAAAATGATCATCTAAAATCAACAACGAGTACCTGTTCGTATGAGCAAAGTTTAACTGGTAGGATTCTTCTGTTAATCGCAGATACATCAAAGCTTTTTTATTATGCTATCCATGGAAATTTTGAAGCCATTCGTAAAATATTTGATGTTGACTATGCACAAGCGGTTCAAATGACAAACGAAAAACAACAGGTATACTGGATCCGATCTGTTGTCGACAGTTTCTGGAGCTTCATCATAGTTCTCTTTAGATACTGTTGCATGTTGCGGTTATCTATTCATTTTCATATGTGTGGATTCGATTATTGCTGATGTGCGGCTGTGATCCTTGCGCTCAAGATCAAGACGGATATACGCCGGCACATTACACAGTCGATAAAGACGACGTAGAAATGCTGAAGGCATTGACGGTTAAACTTCATGTTAAAACACAAGTATTACAGCACGTTGACATAGACAAAATATATACAAGTTGTGCACAAGCATTAACGATAGTGGAAAAATCTGGTGATTTTGACATCAGAATAACACATTTCTTCTTTGCTTCACAGTGATATCTGCTTTATCTTTGTAGGTAGAACGACTTTCATGTTGGCTTTCCATAAGAAAGCATACAAATGTGCAAGCTACTTGTCTGTACAAGATGTAGGATTCGATGTAAACTGCATGGTAAGTAACATACGAATATAAATAAGAAAGAAGTGCAAGGTATAAACATGATATTGATTAGACTACAGCGGACAACGACGCAAACACTTAGTCGAAAATAGTGGTGAGTTTTCTGTGAGTGCAAACGTGTGCAAACACGATCACAAATAGGCATGCACCAATACATATATTGGAACCAATAATACTGGTCACCCAATATATTGGATTTTCACAATATTATTGGGTATTGAATCGCTTGAGTTTAGCCTACTTTCACAGTACAGACGCATGCTCTATATCCAGTTTTGAATCATAATATAACCCGATTAGACATGCACCGATTAATGATTTATGTTAGGGCATTCGGCACAGTTCGTTCCGAATCAGTTATAACAAACCACTTAGAGCTGCCGAATGTCTCATTTTGTAGAAAACTGTTTTTATAACTGATTCGGAACGAACTGTGCCGAGTGACCTAACATCAATATTAATCGGTGCATGCATAATCCCGATCGAGATACATTTTTATATCCCGATTGGGTTATATAGCTCGATGCGGATATATATCCCGATCGGGATATACTTCCTCATGTTTTTATGAATGCAAATGATATTAAGGTTAAAAAGTTGGAATCCAGTGTATTGTGTAACCCAATATTACCCAGTATTATTGTACAATATTATTGAGTGGTAGTGTATACCCGATATATTGGGTGACCAATAAAATTGGTCCGAGTATATGGGTACACAACAATATTGGGATCCCATATAAATGTGTTTCTAAGAAACGTTTCAGTCGGTAGGCTTTTCAAACTGTCCGCAGGCTACTGAGGATTTTATTTTTTTCTCTCTTTTCGCCTCATTTAAAGAAAGAAAAGGAAGGAAAATACAGTTTATCACTACCAATATGTGCAAAAGATAATGAATGGTTTCGACCATCATATTCTTCCCCGGATTTGTTTATTTTTGTAATGAAAGGTCTTGTTGTTTAGGATATTTATGGTGATACATCAATCCACTATGCCGTAGCGCATAATGATAAATCATTAACTGAGTTTCTTATCAACGAATGCAAAGTTGATGTTAATGGAGGTGATTGCAAACGACCAAGTGCATTAGATATAGCGTCATTCAATCAAAATTTGGAATTACAAAAATTATTGGTCAACAACAATGGCCTAAGCCGGTATCAAATTAATCATGAAAGTAGAAAGCGTAAAATATCACAAGATGAACTTATTCGTAATATAGAAAATCTATCAATTACACCTCATAAAGGGAATCAGCAAAGCGTTATTACTAATGCTGAGTTAAAAGCTGAGCGTTCTTCTGCAGCCGTTGAGCAGGTAACACTGAACGATGACGAGTTCGAGAAACAAATATCTGAATTCAACAGCGCAGCAAGAGATCAAATGAAATTAAAGAATTATCAGGAGGCTCTCAAATATCGTCAGCACGAAAACGATCTTCTCATAAACCATTTTGGTTATTTACATCCTGCTGTTGCAAGATCATATTATAATATAGCGGTAGTATATCATAATAAATGTGATTATGACTCAGCTGCATCCAACTATACAAAAGCTATTGACATTAGGGATCAGTTGCCATTGTCATATAAAGATCCAGATTTCCCGAACTATAATACAAATCGAGCACTTGTTTATGCGACTCAACATCAATATGATAAAGCACTTGAAAATTTTACACAAGCTCTAAGTATGAGAAAGACATATTTTCCAATACAGTATGACGAAATACAAAGACTGGAACAATTTATAGAGAGGATTGAAGGACAAAGAAAGGAACTGTAATATTCAATAGTTTTCGCGTACATGTGAACACACTTAAGGGGGACCCCTCCCACAGGAATTTTCGATTTTTTTCGAAACTGAAGTAAGCATTTAGTTAAATAACTATAAATTAAATTTAAATAGTTAATAAAAACTGCCATCTTTCAGAATCTATGTCACTTTGCCAAAAATTTAATGTTTTTGAAGGTGTTTGAAAAAGATTCTGAAAGATTCCATCTTTTTCTAAATTTCACATTTCACTTACTATTTTTACACTGGTACGTTTTAACAGACATGGAGTTATCTTGACCAGAGTGTTCTGATCAAACTGAGATGTCCTGTAGGTTTGTATGACTTCGCCTTGTAGGGTTATTTACCCACCATACTAGATGCTTTCGAGAACGTACCACGTTTATATCGACCACGTCCAAATTGTTCGAGAGTAAGAGGACTAGTACAACTCGAGGTCCTGATGACGAATATCACGTTTAAAAAATTTAAAACAACGATATGATGGTCTTCTAGATCTGTGGAACTCCCATTTCTCAGCAGAACAGCCCGTTTGTGGTCATTTTCACCATTTTCTAGTGAAACATTTTCATGAGCGGGTACCGTCAGATTAGATTCTATATGTGCAGAGCCACAAAATCACTAGCGGACAAAATGTTCCAAAATTTTAAGTACATTATCAGGGAAAGCTTTAAAAAAGTCCTTTTTTCCGAAAAGTAGACCGTCTTTGTAAACCATTTTTTCTCCATAAAAGCATATCAACACAAGACAACATGATATGTATTCGCCCCATCTTTCCAAGCTCTATCCGTTGAAGTGGTTAAAATTGAGATTAGAAAAAATTTAACGCTGGAAAACAACAATTTTTGGAGGCAGTTTTCCTCGTTTTTCAGAGTTTGAGTACGTGCTGCACCATTCTACGGGAATGAAGGACATGGGATGACATATATTTCGCATATACTCGATGTGGGCTATTAGAAAAACAGATTTTCTTCAAGGGCCAAGAACCTTCGAAACAGATGCTTTTCCAGCCAAAATCCCACAGTATCTCTGTTTAAATGAGATATTCGTCACCAGGAGGCAAAAAAGGGACACGACTTTACAGAGGTAGTTCTTTTACTTAAAAAGTCTGCGAATTTACATACCATTTCTTCAAATAAAAATAAGATTCTAATAAAGAAGAGTCAGCTCTAGAATTACAGTTCAACTGGAAGATCGGCACTTTTTGGAGTTCGGTCTTGCTGAAAATTTCACCATAGATGTAGTTCGTGACGTGGAGTCTATCCTGAAATTCTTGGATTTTGTGTTATAAAGTTAGAAATAAAATAATGCAGATTGTCCGTTTGTATCTCACCTGCCTTTCTACATAAGACGTGCCTCCTTACATGTAACGTTATTTTTCCGACTAGTAGCGATATCGGCTTTTTGTTTGCTAATAAAAAACAACAGCAGTTCCTCCGCACTTAAGAGAAGTTGAGAATCAGTCTTGTAAATCACTGTTTAGTGTTTGTATAAGAAAGACTTGACTTCCTGCCGCTGGATACTAACGTTTAAGAGATATGTGTTTTACCACTGTATTCTTTAAATGAATGTATTTCATGTTCGTCCAACAAAGGACAACCTTGATGGATAAATAAAGCTTAAATCAAAGGCAACGGACGGTTTCTGCTAGAAATGCCCGTATATATTTTTGACAAGATAACGACTGGAACTGATCACAAACCGTTCGTTATTTAGTTTTTAACTTTTCTGTGCCTTAAAATTGATTGTAAACTACCATATGCTGAAAGTTTTAGTCATTTCTGAGCATTGGTACAAAAAGCCTGTTCGATCGTATTTATTCATTTTTCTCTGCACGTCCGACGTTCTTAATAGAATCGTATACAGGAAAACATGCTTAATTAAACAGGCTTTAAAATGATGCATACATAACATACCTTTTCAAACTAATGTCTTCATAGATGTATTGGAAAAATACTTGACAGGGATCGTGATTTTACTCATAGTGACAGACAAAATGATTCTACTTTTGTGAGCACACTCAGACCCGGAATGTTTTATACATAGAAAAATGCACAATTGAAAGGGCTACACAATGAGCTATAACACATTATTTCAAAAGTTTGCCTTCAGAAATGTATTGGACAAATACTTGTCAGGTATCTCGATTTTTTTGTATAGTGGCACATAAAAATGATTATAGTTTCTTCTACAGACAAAGATTAGGCGGAGTTTATGTATAGAAAATGCAGAATTGAAAGGACTGTCGAATGATCTATAACACATTCTTTCAAATTTTAAGTTAGCTGGACTTAGGGGCAATATAGTGAACGGATACAGTGATTTTATCCTGTTGTGGAAGCGTTAGTGAAGTATGGTCACAACAAAATCAGACTCAGAATGGTTATGATATTAAAAATTCAGAGTTTAACGAGCTTCAAATTGAAAAACTACAACAACAAATGCACCATAAACAACCAGAATTTATTTTCAGTAAAGATGAATTTCCGCTTTTAAACCTTCCAAAAAATAATTTCAATAGCTTACAGCAAGAAAGGTCGCATCCAAACGACGACCTATCAAAGTTGCAACTGTTTACACAACTGAAAGATTTTTTGGAGTTAAAATTCGAGAAACAAATGGGTAAAATTCAACAGATTCGTCAATAAGTTGAAATAGTGGATCCAATAGTCGATGAAATAAAATTAAAATGAATGAAATGTTTATAACGTTTAGTATTGCTGGGAACAAATGAAGAAGTCAGGCGAGGAACTATCTCACTCGCATAGTTACAAGCTAATGGCTAACTTTCCCCCGAATGCTAGTGCTTTTTTACCCCGATTTTCGACAGTTATAAACCTGATAGTGCTTACAAAAAAATGAAAATATATGGTTTTAAGACCAACGATTTCATTATCTATGGACAGTTTTTCTCTAGGGCAAGTAAAATGGTTTAAATACCTGGGTGTCATATAGACCGAGAAGTGGTTCCTTCGTCTGTCTGTTGACGACACGGTCAAAAAAATCCAAAGATTCTACGGTTAATTAAAATGGTCCAAAAAAGTTTCGATAATTATGAACAGAAAATGTTTCTTTACATATTCATTTTCCTTTTACTCCTGGCTTTTTCCGATATATCCGTTCCTACCGAAATCTCATCTAGAGTCGTTATATCGTAAATTTCGGATTGATATGAGACTAGTTTAGCCCTTTTGCTGATGCGGGCAAGCTTTTCTGAATTATGCAGGAAAAAAGAATAGAAATTTTGCGTAGCAAAGTATCTCAAAAAAAGGCTTGAACGTTCCCATGTCGACGTTTTTGTCGAGAAACCGTCAATTAACCGCGGTTGGTGAAAAAACCGCCAATTCACCGCGGTTAGCTGTAAAACCGTCAATTAACCGCGATTAACCGTCGATTTTTCTCACAACCGCGTTTAATTGTCAATTCCAGCGGTCATAACTAAACTCAATAAGATTTCAGCGAGAAAGAACTAACC